ACAGGCCGACTATGCTTTGATTGTCGACAGCTGTTGCTAACCAGTGACTGCCCATGAAATTAGGTAGGATTTATGCAAAAGTGATAAAGTAAAACCTTGCTTACTTTGGCGTGAATTCCCCAAGGGATAACAACTTATTAGATGCCACCCTATATATAGTATTTTAATTGGAAGCATCTTACTGCAGTAATGTTAATGATTGTTCATGAAACTTTATAAACTAAAAATAGTACAAATTTTAAAAGGATTATTTGTAAATTATGATTTTTTTAATTATTTTGTATTTAGAATGCGTATATTTTTGACTTTTTAATTTAAAGTTTTATAATAAAAATACAACATATACAAAACTGCCATATCCAGTTTGAACTTTTTACAAAAAAATTGAAACCGTTACAGTTAAAAAACGACTATTTTGATAATTAATGTACATTAACCTGTGATTTGCATTTTATTGCATTATCATCATCATTATTCTAATTAATCCACAAAAATATTGTCATGGCCTATACAATTTTGTAGTACCTACGACTCATTGTAAATTTTATCTTTTTAATCTAATAATATGCATAGGGAATCAGTGTTTTTAATATTTTAAAAAATTAGACTTGTCACTGCTATGCTAAAGAAATTGCAAACTTTAACCTGCCTTTAATACTAAAACAATAAGTAAGTGATAATTTTGTTGTGTTGTTGGGTGTTTTTTAAGACGAAATCCCTGGGCTTAGTTTTTACCGGTTTCCCAATAAATAGTAGAAATCCGAATAGAGAAATAAATTGCACACAGTCCCTGTAAATATAATTTTTTTCTTTTGGATGCAATAAATACATTCTAGTAATGATTTGCTTAAAAACTGAATATTTTAATTCAGTAAAAATCATAAAACAAATAAGTCGTCTTAATTTAAACAGCATTATGCATTATTAATTAATTAAATAAATCCCCACTCAACGGTAAAAAAACAAAAACCGGTATTATATTATTTATTATATAATATAATGTTGCCATGAATTTTTAGTCATATTTTGTTGTTTATTGTTTTAAAATGCAGTTTTCGGCGTTTTCTAGATTACTTAAAAATGTTGAATTTTAAGGTTATGTTTGTACAACTATTATTTTTTGTTAGATTTCTTAAAAATGCCCAAACTTAAATATTAATTATATTAGGTAAAGTAATTATAGTTTATTCTGCACCAACAAATATACAGTGTATTTTTTGAATGTGTGTGATTTCGTCATCAATTGCTGAACCAAACAAAGACATTAAAATGTGTAGCTGTCTTTTTTTTTCTTTTTAAAAGTTCAACCGAAATTCTAAAACGTATCGGGATCCGCTAAACCAGCAGATGGCGACACAATTAAACGTAATTTATGACAAACGTCAATCCGATGTCGCGCTCACGCGGCTTGTGCTGAAAAAGGACAGAGCGCGTATAGTTTGTTGTGGCATTGAGCTGGAATTTATCAAAATTTGGCATTAAAGAACAGATTTTGGAAGTTTGACAGGTTTTAAAAAATGTCTTGCAAACGTTTGGACGATAATCAGAAACGTTTTATTATTAATTTAGTGCAATATTTTCAAAGGGAACTGGAGCATGGGGACTCCTGCTCCCACTAAAGGGTCAAAGGAACCTTCACTGATTGTGATGGACAACGCTCCATAGCGTCGTTGTTGAGCGTCACCCTACAAGTGCTTGGAAAAAATAGCAAATAGAAGAGTGGCTAACAGAACATAATATTCAGTTTATCAAAGGTATATTTAAAGCGGAATTGCTGTTTCTGGCACGCTACCACACCCCGCCTAAGCGTTAAAAAGTTGATGAGTACCTCCAGTAGCATGGGCATAAGGTTTTGCGTCTGCCTCCATATCACTGCCAGTTCAATGCCATTGAACTTATATAGGCGCAGGTAAATACATAAACAATTAGATGGGCGCTTGCAACAACGAATTCTGTTTTAGGCTAAAACATATTATGATTCCCATATGGGGGAAGACGGCTATGGCGACAATAAAGTGCTAGCAATGTGGGGCCAAGCATTGAACCAATGCACGCCACAACGTTGATGTTCAGTAGTGAGGCACACCAACAAATTAATTGACGATTGGTTCCAAAAGACAAGGATGGTCGATGACGTGCCAGAACTAGTTATCCACCTCGGAGAAGACAGTTCCGACGAGGATGACTTTTAGTAATTTTGTTTTCGTTCTCCTATAACCTTTTATTTTAATAATTAATGTTTTGTCTTAATTAACTTATAATATATTATATGTATGTACATAATATTATGTACAAAAATTGTGTATGTTTATTGTTATTCGTTTATAAAACTTGCATAATTTACATTAATAAAGTTAAAATAACTATCATTAGAATTATTGTTTAATTGTACGTATTTTGAGTTGCGTAACTATGAGGCGACATTAGGCAACCAAAAATACACCCACAATAAATGCTTAGACCCCTTCAAAATGATACGCTACTGACTCTAATTTTAGTTTAGGTTTAATTCATACGACCCAATTGATGACGCAATCACACACATTCAAAAAATATACTGTACGTACCAAATTGGATTCTTTGGCAAAACATAAAAATGCAACGATTTAGTTCTTGAGTTACATTTACAATTAAAAACACAATAATTCACCATGATCAATTAAATAAAATACAAACACTAATGAAACTATACTCGTATAAGCGTTGAGTTTCTTAATCAATGATGTGAGAAATAATAAATCAAAATTCAGTACTAAACCAAAATTTGTGTAGTAAGATTTCTGCCTTTTTCTCTTTTGTGAAAAAACTACTTATTTATTTAAAAATGATTTTATTTTATTTTTATTTGCTTTAAATGTATTGTTGACAAACCTTGTAGTTTAATAATGCTATCGAGCGCCATCGGATGGCAACGCGCACGTTGCAAAAAACTGATGCTTCCTTGGCGTTTAATAATTATAAATTTCAATACTTATTTATTTTTAAAAGAATATAAAAAACTTTTTAATTATTGTAATGTTGGTATTAATAGTAATAGCAATAAAATTAATTTCTTTTTAAATAAAAATTATTTCATTTAGATTAGTATAATGTGCTGATTTAAATGCACGGCCATTTCAAGCGGATGGACGGGACAAATCACAAAACTGTAAAAAAAATTGTAGGTAATTTATTATATATTATTTTTGCATCAAAATTGTCAAATATATTCTTCTATTATTAGGCTATACATTAAATAAAAAAATCGCAAGAACAATTTTATAAAAGAAGAGATAATTTCAATAATTGACAGGGGTGGACGGGACAAGATAAATCATTTTTTTGTCCCGTCCACTCCTTTCAATTATTAAAATTATATCTACTTTTATAAAATATTTCTTGAAGAAAGAAGAATATTTTTGACAATTTTGATGCCAAAATATTATATAATAAATAATCTACAATTTTTTTTATAAAAACAGTTTTGTAATTCGTGCGTTTCGCAGTGCAAAAATAGGAGTGCAAAATAGTATATTACACTACAAGGGCAGAAAGTGTGAGATTCCTGCACTGCGCGCCATGATGCCCGAGGCGAAGCCGAGGGCATCATGGCGCGCAGTTCAGGGCTCTCACACTTTCTGCCCGTGTAGTGTATACTATTTTTCTTACTACCTGGGCCGAAAATACAACCCGGCCGAAAATACGGGAAAAAATTAAATGTGTATTTATGTACCTATCTCCATTTGAAGAGCTTGATAAATAAATAACAGTAGGCCGTGAATTCAGCGGTGCCAATACAGTAAAAATAAAAGGTTGTATTTTAATTAACAAATTACTACTTTATAACAAATAAAAGTACCATTGAACACTTAAAACAACATAAAAAGTAAAAAAGTAAAAACATAAATTGTTTATTTGTTGTTATAATTGCAAAATTATGGTTTAAAACTGTCATATTTTTGTGTTTCTCATGTTGGCAGTACGAAATTTGAATGTTAAGCACACGACTAAAAAATTTTTACTCCCGCTATTAGAGTGTGCGCGTATAGCTTGACCAATGCATAAAACGTAAACTTTCTGCTGTGGAATCGGGGACGAAACAACGTATTTTGAGTCGAGGTAGTAAGAAAAATAATTTTTTGCTCTGTCAAAAAACTAATTTTAACACTAAAATGTCAACAAAAAAGCCGACTTTTTGAGAATGGTATTAGAAAATAGTATATTAAAGGACTAATGTCATAAGACGTCATTTTGTCGTACGCGACAACAAAAGGTTTTATCTATTTTGCAAAAATCCTATAAAAAATTAATTTTATACCTTATATTTAATTTGGTCGAATTTTACTTTAGATAGTTGGGATCAGTCATTGGTTTTACAGTTAATGTCAAAATCAATTCGCCATGCCGTCCTTAATTTACTTATTTACAATAAGCGGCTGTTAATGTTAAAGAAGAAAAAAAGATTTTCTTTGGTGTTAAACAAAATTTATTGCCAGAAAAGTCTCGTAAGTACTAGAAAAATCATAAAAATATTATAACCAATATGCAAGATATTATTTTACTAGTATGCTGTTTAAAGTATAGCCAACCTATAAAATCAAAATTTTGGGTGGGGTAAAGTATCTCATTTCAGCACCGAAAGCGGTGTTATAATGAAGTCATTATGAACGCAAAATAGATAAAAGTAATTTTTATTATACTTTTACTTGGGCAATAAATAAAGTAAAATTAGTATAGTAGTATACTAGTTTTGGTTAGATTAATTAAGCAAAACAATTTAAAAAAATCATATTTTTCTTAACTTATACCTAGATTAATTAAGAAAACAGACTGTAAAATAATTTAAAAAATAAAAATTGATATAATAGATAAAAGTGGAATCCTGGTTTTATGGATTAGTCTATATTATCCCCTCCATTGATTCTAAACAACAATTACCAATGATTAGGCAAATATTTTCCTGTAAGTAGTCAAAAGAAAGAAGAATTATTAATTAGACGTTAGTAATTTACTTAGACAACGGGGATTACACACTTCTGTTCAGAGCGTTATACGACTTACAAGCAACGTGCCGCATAAGGACATCGTTTATATTTGCAAAATTTATTAATTATTTATTTCGTGTTTTAAGTTTTTTTTGTGAAATTTGTGATTTATTTGTGATAAAAAGTAGGTAAGTTTTTGATGAACTATGTTTATTAAATAATATAAATTTTTATATTTTTATTTCTATAGGGGTGGTTTTGCAAATTTTATCTTAATATTATGTAATGTATTTTTTAAATTGTAATTTATGTAAAATTAAGCTAAGGCTAAGCTTTTAAGATGTTATTACAAAAATTTTATAATAATTTTGTTATTTGTTTAGTTTAAGGTTGTCAAGTTAAAAAAAATACCTAATTATAATTGTGATACAAATATTTCACTAAGAAAGAATATTTATTTACAAAACTGATTATATTTTAAAAATGCATAGTTATGTTATGTTAAACCCTTCAAATTTTTTTATTATTGAATTAGTACAATAATAACTTTATTTTCCTAATTATTACAATAATATTTACCCTATTTCATTTATATTATCTCCGTCTGTGCCTTCAATGACAGACTGCCATTTATACTAAAGTTTTTAATTTTTGTTGAAAGATAAATTAAGATAATATACATACTAGACTGGGCCAAAAAATCAAGTATTTTTTTTTGAAAAGTATATCGAAAATATAGTTTGAGGTGACAAAAAAAATTTTGTGAAAGTTTGAGTCCATAATATTAATATTAAGAGGTCTATCATCACAATTTTATTTTTTTTCCTCAGCAAGTTTTTGTCTCAGAACTCCCAAACCATTGAGTTTAACAAAATTGACTCAAAAATATTTGTTTAATAAAATTAAATGCTCTACAAAAAAGGTTAAAGTGAAATTTTCCGTCAGATGAACCGTTTCCTTAAAATCATGCCTTAAAAATTGGTATACTAAAACTTTCACCCCAAACAATATTTTCGATATACTTTACAAAAAAAATAGTCGATTTTTTTGGTGATTGGTATTTTAAGTTGCATATTTTTTTTCAACAAAAACTTTTGTACACGGTGTGTCATGTAGCAGTGGCCAATACCAACTTTCTTATTTCAAATAAAATTAAAACTAAAAATAAAATTTTTAAAACTAATCGTTTTAATATACTTTTACATATGTGGAGAATTTTCGAGATATTTTTACCTACCGTGATAATAACATTGATTTGTTGGAAAGAAAATGACAAATGAACGAAAACTGACAAAAAATATTTTTATCAAAAAAAAATTCAACCCAAAATTTTCAAAAATTAATAATGCAAATCAACCATAGACAATAAAATGATGTGTCGACCCTTGAAGATAAATTGTTGTATTTATTTTTTCCACGATAAACAAAAAGTTTTTGATTTAATTGTTTTTGAAAACAGCATGTAGACAAAAATATCCCCTACAATTTATATCATTGAATACCCAAAATAGGGTTTTACCCCAAGTTAATATGAATTTGGGTTTTTTTCCATGAAAAACAACTTTCTCAATAAAAAAAAACAATTATAAAAATTGGATAATTAAGCGCCACAAACTATTTGAATTTTTCCTCCTAGGGCATCGACTCTAAAATTTAAATTTTAGGGGATAAGGCGCTCTACATTTTTTGTACACATTTCATTCTAAACCGTCTTAAAAAAATAAAATCCAACATAAAAAAAGTTTTTACCCAAATCATCTGGGCGGAAGGCGGATTTTATTTTAAGAAATCTAGCTAAAAGCTTTTAAAATATTATGTTTCTTGTAATTAAATTTAAAATATGCATATTTTTTTTTTATTCAAATCTAAGCTTACAAAATTAAGGTGATCTTTTAAGAAGTTATGTAATATATTGTATGTATTAATGTTTATGTTAAAATTAAGAAAACGTTAGTCACTACAAGTACACAATAAACTACAGAAAAAAAATTTAAATTAAAGAAATAATGCTTTTATTATAACAATTTATAAATATTTATTTATTTATTATGGTCCATTGCTAAAAGCTGTATTTATTACTTAAGTATATTTATAATATACTAAATTGATGTATTACGTTAGATTTTGTGTGACCAAGGTGCGTGCCAACAGTTATTAATTTAATTAGGTAAAACTTTTTTAAATTTCGTAAGAGCAATAAATGATTTAATTAACCTGAAATAATTTGGTACCTAGGAAAAGAGCAAGTGACTAATAAAAACCGATATAAATACTGCATAGCTATTATTTTGTACTATTGGAAAAATAATTGCCTTAGGAGTAATATTAATTCGCATTGAAACATTCTGACCTATCGTTAATGAGGATGCGATAATTTTCCCAAATGTTTTTTAACTATTTTCATTAAGGCAGGCTTTGGCAGTGGCCTGAGCACAACTTTGCGCATGGGTTTCAAATTAAGATTGTAGTTTTTTGTAAAGACCCTGTATATTACCTTAAGTTATCAAACAACCTTAAATTGTAATACAGATAATAAAGATGAGAAGAAAATGCATTATTAATTGCTCTCAGGTAATATAAGTAATACTGAAACCAGTTACATTTAACTTACCATTCAAATAATAATTGTCATTTAAGTATACCTAGTATCTACAATATTTTATTCATTAAGTAATAGTGATTTTGCGGTTTTAAATTACATATTTTCATACGCGTGCCTAATAAATTAAAATATGTTTAACTAATAATAAAACGATTTTTTCAGTTACAAAATTCTGTTTAAAATTATCGTTTTTAAAGCATGTTTCGTTATAGCTAGCCGTTGCATAGACACAATTAGAAAGTAAAAGATCAATGAATGACGAACATTATTGGCTAATAATTCAATCGAAATGAAAAAAAACAACTAACTTTTTCGTTTTTTCTATACCTATGTAAAAATAGATATGTTCGAATATTATTATTATTATTTTTAAGTAAACTTTTTTAGTAATAAAATTACAGGGTCTAAAAACTTTGATATTTCTTTTGACGAGGCAAAAGCATTTATTTAAAACTTTAAAAAACTTGGCTACGCTGTGTAGACTTTTTTAAAGACCCATGTTATTAGATCGCGTTTATTTTTCCTACTAAATAATTTTGCATCTTATATGTACAGGGTGTATTTTTATAAAAGTGAAACCCCAATAAAATCTTTATTAGAAGAGATATCGAAAAATGTTTAAATCCAAGCTGCATGGTTTAAAAATAGTATATTAAAGAACTAATGTCATAAGACGTAATTTTGTCGCACAATGACGGACAATTTATAATTTTGTAATGGACGAGTGCAACAAAGGTCTTATAACATCAGTTCTTTATGCTATTTTATCTATTTTGCAAATATTCTACAAAAAAAATTAATTTTATACCTTAAATTTAATAGGGTCGAATTTTACTTGGTATTCTTAATTTACTTATTTACAATAAGCGGCTGTTAATGTTTAAGAAGAAAAAAAGGATTTTTTTTGGTGCTAAACAAAATTCTCGTAATAAAATAGAAAATCAAAATTTGGGTGCGGTGTTATAATGAAGTCATTATGAACGCAAAGTAATTTTTTTGATAAAAATTCAAAATCAATAGCATCGTTAAATTTAATAATATGGCATTGAGATTTTTTTTAAATAAAACACCCTGTATATTTTTGAATATTTAAATAGACTTATTTTTCTGGTTTGAAAAATATATATTTTTTATGTTTTTGAGGTAAGTGTTTTGTTAATAAATGACCCAAAAACGCGAGTTCTTTATTCATGACAACTATAACTAAAATTTTATCTAAATACTCAAATATATACAGGGTGTTTTATTTTAAAAAAATGCTATATCTATTTTATCAATTTTCCTGACCCTTTTTTGTTTTTTAATTTTTGTCATTTTATTATCTCTTTAAATATAGATTTTGTACGAAAACATGTATTTTGATATATTCTATAATAAGCTAACTTTATTATTATTTCTTATTTCATTTTTATACTTAATTAAAAAATATAATTTAAATGTGATAATAAAAAATACGTCATTTTAAGTTTAATTTTATTATTATTATTATGCTAGTATTTACGACTAGGAAATGTCATTTTACGAGGATTTTTGTTATTGGCTACTTTTTAAATATGGTATAAATAAGTTTATAGGTTTGCATACATCTAAAAATAATTTCGAATGGCTTTGAACTGTTTTAATTTCCATAATAATTCATTCTTTAATAAAACATTAAAATGCATTGACACATTTTATGCATTAAATCCATTTAACAATGAAATTCTTAAACTTGAACCATCCTTTTTACTTCGATTTTCTACAAAAATCAAATTTTGTGTTTTTTTAATATTTGGCATTGTTCCATTTATATATAATTTATTTATGGCACAGCCTAACATTTTATATTGACAAATACTGTCCATATAATTAATTAAATAAATAATTTAAATCTCAATATACGACATTATAGGCAGGTGTCTGTTCAAAAGTCAATAAATCTAGTTAATAAAAAATAACTTGTGTGGATAACATTTTCCGTAAATGTAAATTTTCACACATTACTCATTAAAATGTTTAGCATCGTTTAGATATTTAATGTCTTTTTGTTTATTTACAGTCAATAGTTGACTACCCACCAAAAATTAAAGACATTATACATATTATAGACATTATACATTTGAATATAATTAAATGTTACTTTCTAAAATCTAAATTATACTTTTTTAACTAAAAAATTTAAAAAATTAAATATATTTTGTAAAAAATTTCTACATAAATAATTAAAGATTTAATCTACTTAATCAAAATACATATCTCTTAATTTAAACTACCTCAAATAATTGGATTAGGTAATACCAAAACAATTACTTGTTGCGATAAAAGTTGCTAAAAGTTAATTATGGGTATAGCACGTGCCATTATAATTAGCCTTTTACCTACTTAATCAAAGTTAAAATGTTTATTAAATTGTTATTTATTATTAACAAGACATATTTATTTTTCTAGGTCATTTATCATGAGTTCCTTCGCAAACTTAGTTAAAGGCTACAAAAGCTTCATGGAAACAAAATCACGTAAGTATAAAAAAAATATTTTACGTTGATTTAGTCGAAACATAAAATAATAATTATGGCTAATTTTTTATTTTTTAATATTACCTAGTTTTTATACGTTTTTGCGTATTTGGTACAGTATATTTAATCAACATTTTTAGAAACAGGGTGTTAAAGTTATAATTCATTTATGTTTTTTTCTGAAATTACAATAATTCGTAATGCTCATAGATTTGTTTACACTTTCAAACGAACTAATTACGCGTCCCTGTCTTTCATTGTCTTTGTTTAAAATAATATGTATAGTAGGGTCTCAACAACGATTTTTTAAGTTTACTATCAAAATATTATGTTTTAAAGGCTCTCTCTGAGAATCACACACACTCGCAAATTAGTAATAGTCAATTTTTTTTAAATTTTGCCACGGAAAATTAATAAGCTTATTAAAATTTTAGCTCAAAATATTACTCTTTAAAGGTCGCTCATAACTTTCTTGATGTTTTCAAGTGACCTTTAAATATTAATATAAAAATAATAAAGAAAAAATTAACTTTAACACAATCATAAAGCAAAATTTAACCGTGTTTTTTTTTATTAAGATATTTTTAAACTGATTTATAAAAAATAAATTATGCAAAAATACTTCCACCTTTAAAACGTCCATTATCGTACATTTTTTCATGACAGTAAGTTACCTTTTTAATAAATAAACATTGAAAAGTTGTGGCTTTATAGTTACGGGCTGAAGTTAGTTTTTTGTTAGTTGACAGTTGTCAGATACAGTCGTCGTACAAATTTAACTTGTGGTTAGTCCATTTTCAAAGAAAATATTTTGATTTACAAAAAAAAATTTGACATTTTGATGCCTAAAGTATTGTTTTATAAATGTCGCTCTATACAATTGCAGTTGCAAATCTAAACCTTTTTTTAAATTTTTATGTATTGTTTGTTTTAATGACTTTATTATTATAATCATTAGGTATATACACCATTTTTAAATGACATATGTTTTAATTTCATAACCTGTTAAAATAAATGTTTTAACCCATAGACAGGGTATACATAATAATCGGAATAATAATTACACTATTGAAACATTTTATTTTATTATTCTTAGATTTAAATTTATAAAAAATTATGTGTATCTTATTAAATTTAAATTAGTATGACAAGGGATTAGGGGATCATTTTGCCCACCTGTATGTTTATCTTTGTAATTAAAAACAGTTATTTTAATAGTTATTTACGTGTCAAGCTTTGTAAATGAATCTTTACGGGCGAGCTGAAAAATTGTGGGGTGAGCGACCCAGGAGCGAACCCCATAATCCAGTGAGCCTAGTAAAGATTAATTGCAAAGCGTGACACGTACAAACTTTTATTTTCACCTTTAAATAACGATTTTTAATTTTAAAATTTTAATTAATATGTCAAATGTGACATTTAATTTCATAAATTGCTTTTCTACAAGTCTGTAAAACTTTACAGGTCTTTTATACAAGCCCGTAAAATATTACAGGTCTGTTCCCATAATGTATCGTTTACTTGGATACAAAAACAACAAAATTAACCTATAAAATGTCATTTACTAAGAAGGTGGAAATAAAGTAACTTACCTTATTCATAAAAAAAATCTAATAACATTGTAATTGACATTTTTACAAAATCCAGCTTACTTTTTCAAAATATTCAACTATAATTAGAGAAGCAATCCTTTTTTTGGAAAACAATTATCATTTTTTTTATATTTAATTAAGGTATTAAATAATTATTAAAAATAATTATTTAAAAGAACATTACATATACTACATAAAATACTATAAAATAATAATAAAATACTATTTAAAATAATTATTTAAAAGAACATTAAATATACTACATTCAAGTTGCAAAAATGGCGAATGCGCCGGGTAAATTTATAAACATATGTTTACTTTAAAAAATGGCCAGTAGGACCAGGAAATAACAATTTACTTATTATCGTAGAATTGTTAAGCCTGTTTAATATGCTTTTTACATTTAAAGGCTCATTTTTATATATATACAGGCACTTTTCGTGTAATCTGGGTTGCCTATAGAATGGTTTCATGTCTACATAAAAACATCGTTTGTAATTTAGTATATAATATTATATTATATTATCCAAAATGGCAGAAAAGCTTTTTAGTACGTTTTAGAGGAGTCCCTGGAAAGTCTTGAAAAAATAGTAAAAAACTTCTCCTGATATTGGACGAGTTATTGGTCAAAAACGGAATCGTAAATTTGGCAAAATCATTGTTTTCAGGGAAATCATTTATAAAAATGTAATAATTGCATAAAGGGATCTTATTAATGTGGTTTTATTGCCAGATTATAACGTAGATACCGAGATACACCAGAGAATAACCTCTACTCTTGGTGTCATCAACATCCAAAGCCACCCTCTCCTGCTACAGGCATCAAGTTACTATAGTTGTCTAAACTCTTTCCTCCAATCTCCTAAAGACATTCCAACTGGGATATCTTAGGTTAGTGTATCTATCACTGCAAACTTTGCTGGCTTTGTTCGCGCAGTATAATAAATTATTAATAATAATAACAGATAAAGTCTACATAAAGAATATCCATTTTTTACATTTTGTTTACAATATGCAGTATGACACTAAATTAATTATAGACCAGTGCGGAAGCCTTTAAAAATGGTAAAAAGAGAAAAAAAATAACAGTAGGATGAAACCCATTGGAAAAGGAGGGGAATATAATAAAAATTAAAGGAAAAATAAATTACGGGCGATCTGAGTTCGGGAAGTGGGAGGGGGGGGGGTTTAAGAGTAAAAAATGGTTTATCTCGATTTCCGGCAAAACTACTAGTCCTATGGAAAAAAGTTAAATGTCAAAGTTGTAGGTAATAAAAAGATCTACAACTTTTCCATTTATAATTTTTTCACATAACCTCAAAATTTATGTGAAAAATTCAAAAAAACCAAGTTTTTGGTTTTTTATTTTTATCTTTTTCAAAAAAAAAATTTTTTTTACGAAATTTGGTGAAAACTTACCTTTTTATGTCCCAAATACACTGTAATTTATTTGATTTGAAATATTTATTATTTCGCCTTATTTTGACTTAATATCAAAAAAGCACCCTAATTTTCAATCGAAAATTCTCGCGTCAAAATATCAGCTTTTTTCAAAAAGTCGGTGTGTTCGATGAACTCTCTACTTTCTGATGGTGTAAAAAAAATAAACATTACTATGGTAAATGTTCTCAGAAAATACAAAACATATTATAATGAATTCATATTATAAATTCAATAGTATGAATAACATGTATTTTTATATTTGATGAGATTTTCTGACATAAATGTTATTAGAATTTAATAAATAAACTTTTTAAATAAAGAAATTGCAACAATCACATTTTTTTGATGAAATTGTACATAATGATTAAAATAAATTTTCGAATTCGAGTTTTTTTCGTTATTCATTTTAATATTTTTTGCATTTTCTGAGAACATTCGCCATAGTAATGTATATTTTTTTACACCATCAGAAAGTAGAGATTTCAACGAACAAAAAGCACACCGACTTTTTGAAAAAAGCTGATATTTTGACGCGAGAATTTTCGATTGAAAATTAGGGTGCTTTTTTGATATTAAGTCAAAATAAGGCGAAATAATAAATATTTCAAATCAAATAAATTACAGTGTATTTGGGACATAAAATGGTAAGTTTTCACCAAATTTCGTGAAAAATTTTTTTTTTTTTAAAAAGATAAAAATAAAAAACCAAAAACTTGGTTTTTTGAATTTTTCACATAAATTTTGAGGTTATGTAAAAAAATTGTAATTACAAAAGTTGTAGATCCTTTTATTACCTACAACTTTGCCATTTAACTTTTTTCCATAGGACTTGTAGTTTTGCCGGAAATCGAGATAAACCATTTTTTTACCCTTAAAACCCCCCCCCCCCTCCCACTTCCCTTTCATTTTTATTATATTCTTCTCCTTTTCCAATGGGTTTCATCCTACTGTTATTTTTTTTTGGTTTCAAAAATTATCGACCCTGGTCTATTAGGTAAAATGAAATAAAGAAAAAATAAAAGAGAAAAGAAACACAATAATAGTATATTAAAGAACTAATGTCGCACGCGGACAATTTATTGTAATGGACGAGTGCGACAAAAGGTCTTATGACATGAGTTCTTTATGCTATTTTATCTATTTTGCAAAAATTCTATAAAAAAATAAATTTTATATCTTAAATTTAATTTGGTCAAATTTTACTTTAGATATTTGGTATTACAGTCATTGATTAGACAGTTAATGTCAAAATCGATTTGCCATGCCGTCTTTAATTTACTTATTTACAATAAGCGGCTGTTAATGTTAAGAAAGAAAAAAAGGATTTTCTTTGGCGTTAAGCAAAATTTATTGCCAGAAAAGTCTCGTAAGTACTAGAAAAAACATAAAAATATTATAACCAATATGCAAAATATTATGCTGTTTAAAGTATAGCCTATAACCTATAAAATCAAAATTTTGGATGGGATAAAGTATCTCATTACAGCACCGAAAGCGGTAAGTCATAATGAACGCAAAATAGATAAAAATTGTTATGCTATTGCCCTTTTTCTATTATCAAACTGAACTTAAGATAAGAAAAACATGTCACAATAATTGATGACAATTGAATACGTCAATGCAGAAACTGAATATGTCCTACCTATCTAGTTTTGAGATAAATAAGAAAAACTGAACAGAAAGTGGACATGTTCTGGACATATTCAGTTTCTCTACTATATTAACGGCTTTGTATAATCTAGATTACCGTGACATGTGAAATTTCTACGCCATTCGATCGGGCACCCTTTACTTATAGTAAATCCATGTTTAACTCAATATCCCTAAAAAGTGGACATATTCAGTTTCTGCATTGACCTATTCAATTATTGTCATCAATTTGATTATATAATCGACACATTGATATTAACGGGGCATGCATGCCCTGATTAGTTTTAGATGCTTGAACATAAAAAGTCTGTCGAAATCTAGAATTAACTCGGAACATAAAAGTTAATTTTTGGAGTCAAATATGACTCCATTAATCAGTGTATACAAGTAAATTAACTGTCAAAGCAAACCAACTCACTTACATAGTCAAAATTGTCCACAGGATAATATTCATTAATTAGATAACATAAAATTTAATATCTGCAAAATTTTCTTAGTAGTATTATCAATACATACATTGTTATATTGTGACCCTATAACACACGCATATTTAAGTTGAATACATTTTGTAGACAAGTTTAAAATAATCGAAAATATGTTATAAGGCAAGGAATTATAATACAGTGATTACGAAAAAATAAAAAAACATTTACTGACATTTAATTATCAGAGATGAATTTTTTGGGCTTGTCAGCAATTATACACCTGCCTAATTGTTATTTGTAGTTCCAAAGAAGTTGTCGAATGCTTATTAAACTAAACTAAATGGGATTGTGATTTTTAAAATAGATTCTTATGTCTATTTGGGTATTCCTAGTTTTTTTATTGTTGATAATAATAAAGAGTTCATGTACCTTTCCAACCAACGTTGCAGAATTCCAAACTAAGAAGTTAAGTTCTCAACTTTACCTCTTCATAACTCCCTAATGTGGAAAATTTTTCCGCCAGTTTAGATATCATCTAATCGTAAAAATATTTTTTTTAGATCCGGCAACCAAAGACTGGTTTCTTATGGGCGATCCTGTGCCTCTTTTAATAATGATAGTTTCATACATATATTTCTGTAAAGTGGCAGGACCAAAATATATGAAGGACAAAAAACCGTACGATCTTAAAGTTGCTATGTTTGTCTACAATGTGGGCCAAGTATTATGCAGCGTATACATAGTTTGGGTGGTAAGACCATTTGATTTATATTATAGTTTTTCTAATAATAATAATTTTGTTTTTTAGGGTTTTCCTTATTGGATCTTCGGAAAATATAGTTATAGTTGTGAGCCTGTAGGAGATAATCCAACGGTAAGTAAAAACTTATCGATATAAAAAATTTTGATGGCATAATTAGTAACATATTTACTTTTTAGGTTCAATCTACAGTATGGTTGTACTTTATGTGCAAAATCGTGGAATGGTTGGATACGATATTTTTCGTTCTAAGGAAAAAAGACAAACAGATAACCTACTTGCACATGTACCATCATGCTCTTATGCCCGTTTGTGGATGGATTGGTGCTAACTTTTTGCCAGGTAAATAACTTTCGTATTTCGTGAGATATGATGACACACTAAACAATAATTATTATAATTAAATATCCCTATTAAAAGTTTACGTTGTGAAACGATTTGTATTAATTTATTTACTTATAATGTTGTTTTTATTTTTAAGGTGGACATGGTACTCTTTTAGGTTTCATTAACTCTTTCATTCACATTATTATGTATGTTTATTACCTAATTTCATCTATGGGACCTCAGTATCAAAAATATCTTTGGTGGAAAAAGTATTTAACCCGCATGCAACTTGTAAGTATTTTTTTTTATTTGTTAAATTCTTCGATCATACAAAAAATTATAAAAGAGACCTTTCAATAGCAGGAATTTAAATTTAAATACCCAAACCAATATCAAATATGTTAAACAATGAAAAATTTAAATAACTTCATCCAAGCCCCGTTTGAAAAAAGAAATATTTTTTCTCGTTTTTACTTTAAAATAATGAAGTATTATGTCTTAACTTGAAAAGGTTTTCAAATTTTTCGAATTGGAATCTTAGCAAAGGCAATACACTCAGTCTTTTTAAGAACAAGAACATAAGATGGTGAAAGATTGTTCCTTGAATAATTCTGAACAATCGACATTATTTTCAAAGGGCAAAGACCACTTTTTCAAAATGACATTTTGGTGAAAATATACGAAAACTAAACATGAACCGATATTTTCGTTCGTGACATGTTTTCTTTATAATTTTGACCGATAATAGCGTACTAAAGATGCAAAACATAGTAAAAAACAGTAAAAACCAGCAATCGTATTTTATTGAGACATTGAACTGCCGGGAATTGTTTTCTAATCTTGATTTTTGGTGATTTTGGTTTTATCTGAAACTTAAATTTGACAACTGAATCACAATCAGGAGGTTAAAATTATGAAGAAAACATGTCGCGAACGTAAGTATTGATTCAGGTATAGTTTTCGCAAATTTTCACCAAAATGTCATTTTGAAAAAGTGGTATTTGCTTAGGCCCTATGAAAATAATGGAAGTTTGTTGCTTGTCGCTTGTACAGAATTATTTAAGGAACAATGTTTCACCATCTTACAAAAAAGCCTTAAATGTACTCTTTTGAAAAAAAACATATTTTTGTTGGTAAGATTCCAATTCGGAAAATTTGAAAAACGTTTCAAAGTAAGACATAATACTTCATTATTTCAAAGTAAAAACGAGAACAAATTTATTTTTTTACAAACGGGGCTTGGATGAAGTTATTGAATTTTTTCATCGTTTAATATATCACCCTGTAGGAAATTTACTTAAAGAACCATGAGCCTCATATCTATAGCATGAATTGCCAGAGGAATAAATAGACTTTGATCAGTGTTCAAATCACTGCTTACTAAATTTCTCTGTTTCGTTTTTGTTGGGCCACGCTGAATGTACCTACATACTAAAAAGTGACTAAGATGTTATAACAAAAAATGCATTAAATTATATATTCAAAATGGGTCAATCCAACCTCGTTTTACGATACCTTACATTATTTTAGATTCAATTCTCCATTATCTTCGTACACAACTTCCAAGTGATGTTCCGTACCTGCGACTACCCGAAAGGAATAAACTTCTTACTAACAACTCAAGCTGCCTATTTTCTCTATCTCTTCGGAAAATTCTACCACAAAAGCTACGTCCGGCAAAGAAGCAAAGTGCAGTCCAAACAAAACGGAGTGAAAAGTGAAAATATAAGTGGGTGCATGCTAAACGGGCTTAACGGACACACCAACGGTGTTTTGAACAATGTTCAGAAAAACAAAGTGATATAAGTATAAGTACTGTTTGTTAGGTTAGATGTAATAAATTTAAATTATAATTATGAATGTGTTAAGAAACATTTTTAATAATAATTGTAATTACAATATCATGTACAATTTCAATTTTTTGTTTAAAGGTGTTTATATTGTAAAAGAATAGATAATACTGTGATTGTAAATTCTAGTAAATTTGGTTTATTTTGCAATTTGGTATTGCAATTTTTTTATTCTTTATTATTAAAAATGTTACCTTACCCCATTATCAACTTGCCCTACATATGTGGATTAGCCTTTTTTAATTTTTGCTTGTTTTAAAAGTCTAAAATTTAAACCGTATAAATTTAAGTTTAATTGGATTATTAAAACAACCTGACCTTTTTTGAAACACAAAAATTTTTAATGTTCTTATTTAAATTAAAATTATCAGCATATTACCTTTTAGATATTCCAATATTGTTAAAAAATTGAGTTGTTAAACATTTGAGAAAAAAGTGTTAAATACTAGACCATACTGTATACCAAAATCGAATCAAATCAAATGTGTTTTAATATAAAATCTAGTTACTAAAAAAGAAGACATAGTAAAAGGGTCGCAATGTGGTGATGTTTTTGGCTGAAAAAGGCGCGTGAATTTACAATCTCGCCTCTAAAATCTCCCTTTATACTAAATGTCCCACCTTAGACAAAAGATAATTGTTGTTTAAAAATTGCTTGGTACATTTTCATTGTTGTATTATATTATGTGGTTGCTACAACTTTGACATTAAACAACTCCAGTGTGAGTACATAGTACATATTTCCAGAATTTTAAAATTTAATTTAATGAATTTTTTTATGTTTAAGGATCATTCCAAAGACCTTTTTTAAAATAAAAAATGTAGTTATAAAATATATTTTACTATTAACAATAAGTAATTTTATGTATAGTAAAAGTAAAACAGGCAACATTATATTGAATATATAATTGTAAAAATAATTAAATTTGTAAAATACCTCATTTTTTTTGTAAAATTTAGATTTTTTTTACTTATTTGTATATTTATTTAGTATTATTTAAGAAATTTATATTTTTATATTAGGTATAAATACCTACTAATGCTTAAATGTATATAAATGTAATTTTTAATATGTACTTTATGATTGCAAAATTAAATTAAAATTACAAATAATTTTTATAAAAATAAATTTTTATTTATAAACAATCTATTATATTTTGTTTGGTATAGTCAGTTGCAACAAGATGGCGTTGCTTTATTATAAACGTAGCAATTTCGTTCTTGTGATGCTGTACGCACATGAAATCAAATGTTCCGGTTTCATAACCTACTTTGATTGTCGATGAAAATATTGTTTTTATTATTCGATTATTGAAGAAGAAAAAGGCACTTTGCCACAATGCACTATGGAACAAAATTTACAATAAAAATGTTATATATAAATTTAAAAAGTCATACACAGTTGGGGATGTAGAGGATTTACTATTTGAAACAAGATGTGAAAGAGGGCTGAATCGTGCGACACGTCAAACCAAACAAATAAATATATTTTTATAATTTTATTTTTTTTAATATTAAAAATGTAATTTAAATCAAGTAAAATACATATTATGCTCTGCTAAAAATTAATTGGATTTAGAACAAAGGGTAATTTAAAAAAATCTGAGTGGGACATGTTCCCTTGTGGGGATGGGGTCGACAATTTGTCTAAATATGAGCAGGGGGGGTCTAAAAGCCCAAAAAAATTGTGACGTACGAAGGAACTAAATTAAGATTAAACATTTAATGATGCATTAAAGAAGTTAGTTAGGTATCTGTAATAATGTCATTGTTATTTTAATATGTCAAGTCAAGAATGTTGGGTGTTTTCGACTGTATTAAGTATGTTAAAATTTAACAATTTAATAATTGTAATTAGGACTAATTTTAAAATTATTGTTCGACCTTTTGTACATTTTGCACTGTCTAGTTGGAACTGATACTTTTGTATATTTTTGTCCAATATTTTTAAATTATTCACAATTTAGGATCTAATTTGAGACTACTGGGTCAATAATTGTTAAAAAAGAAAGTGATAACTAATTCAATTTATCTTAACTTTTTTAATTATTGCTATTTAAAATGCATGAAATATCATTTATAAATGTCAATTACTAGCATCGCATATCATGACGTACATTTTTATTATTTTCCCCCTTCTTTTTTCTTTATCTTTGTATTGGCCTTTAGCTTAAGTAATAAGCAATATTGTCCAGAACATGTTTAAGCCGATTAAACAAATTTACATACATATGTATACATAAAACGTAGTTAAAATTATTATAACAATTATTAAAGGAATAAAGTGACGTTAGATAGCTTAAGGATATAAAAAACTTGACGTTTGACATTATAGGTTATGTTCATAAATTTATTCTACAGTGACCTATGTAATTTCAATGTATTTTCATTATTGTACGCCAATGTATAATAATTTGATTTTCTATATAGGCTTTGTAAGTGTTATAATGTTAAAATTGTTATACGATTAAAAATAGTATATTATGTACCAAGTTTGATAAACTCCATTTAGGTCATGAATTTAATTTAGGCACAAGCTAGCTTGCCAACGAGTGCTTAATTAAATGAGTGCCTAAAAAAGTTTATAAACGAGTTGCTACGACAAATACTTAATATTATCTAAAAAATTATTTAAATTAAATATTTGTATAAAGCGACATCTATACGGAAATGAAGTAACCATCCTGATAAACATTTTCGACTTAATTTTCACCATTAACATTGCCCGTTATTATTTTAATTAAACTTAACAATTATTGATACTTTTAAATATTAAAATAACCTCAAAATATGATTATGTTAAGAAAAAAATATTATCCTTCGATTTTTTTATTACTATAATTTAATCGGTGAGAATAAGAACAGTAGAAGTCCAAAAATTTAATTTCGACAAGTCATTTTCTAAATACACTTTTGTGAGAAGATATAAATCATTTTACAAAGTATGAATATTATATTTTATAAAATGGTTAAAATATTCTAATAAAAATTGATTTAAAACTATAAAACTGATTTTTTGAAATATTTTGTCAAAATTTTAACTTTTGGACATGTATTAATTAATCTTACCGATTAAATTGCAAAATATTATCACAAAGTATTAAAAATTCTTACACGGAAAAGTGACAGTTGTTTTTATTGGAATTCATGTTAGAATTTCTAACTGGGGAATCTACCGGCGTTAAAATCTTAAATTTTTCTGTGTAAATCAAAATGTATCTCTTGAAAATAGAATCGATATAGAAGCAGTTTTTCACAGTAAAAAGAGAAGAGAATGTTTTATGGGCACTGTTTGCAAAATTTGTAATGATCTACCAGTTAAATCTAGTTAACTGCACTACTACGGTGAAATCAAAAGGTCAATACAAACGTTCATATAATCTTTTCAAATATTGGAGTCAAAAAACTATTTAATACTTTTGTATTTTTGTATTGAGATAATAACATAATTTTTACATTTAGTATTATTTTACAAGAAAGGCACTTAATTTTAACGATTGTATGACATTTGACAACTGTCAACTAACTTAAAACTAACTTCAGCCCGAGACTAAAAACCTGTTGATAACTACAGGCTGTCTACAGCCCGTGACTAAAGCGCCATAACTTGTCAATGTGTATTTAAAAGGTCACTTCGTGTCTGGAGACATGTAAGATAATGGGATTTTTAAAGGTGAGAGTAGAAAAAAAAAATTACCTACCTTTGAAGTTATTCTGCACGCTAAGATATTTTCTATAATTGATTTTCCTGTTTAAATTATTATATCCTCATTAGTATTTTTGAAAGGATATGGAAGCTCGAGTTATTAGTAATTAATACTAAATAATCAAAGAATAATTAATTACAAATTTCCGCGTACAATGTTGTTTTTTACGGCAAATAATTATGTAGAGAGTACGTATTTTTAGCCGATTGGTATTTTCTCCAAGTTATCGCTGACCAGTTGACTTTGAGCATCTGAACTCGCAAATTCTTCAACACTTTCTACGTAATTGTTATTTGGGTTGTTAACGATAATAAAAGGTTTATTTTAAAACCAATTAAAATAAATTAATACAAGGTAATAATATTATCTAGCTGGTTAGATATACATGTATATACATTTTACGGATGGTTTATTAATTTGTCAAATATTAATATTAATAAATACACTAGGGTAATTCTACAAAAGTTGGACAACTTGATGTCAACAGTCAATAGAGTAGGTATTTTAATATTTTTTGTAAATATTTTAGTATACCTGTCACAAAAGATCCAGTTTTTTTTTAAATTGTCCCCCTAATTTTAATGTATTTTTTCAAAAGCACTATTATAGAAAAACATAATAAATATTCAAAACATCAGTACCTTGGCGTGTCACAACTCCTGAATGAAATATTTGAGTGATTTTATTTTAAAATATATTCAATTCATCTTAAATTTTTCAATTTCACCACAAACTATAAAACATTAAATTATGTATTTTTCATATTTTATCATAGATTCAATTAATAGCAATTTTTAAAAAATTGATAATCTTTGTACAGTCCAATGTATGTCCAATGTTAAAATTCGAAATTTCTGCGAAATATTGAAGTTTAAACGTCAAGTCCTCGTTTTAACTCAAGTGTTGGTAAAAAATTACCTACAGAGCCCGCCCTTTGCACGACAGTCATCTTTATAAACAATGCAAGCACCGAAGTTGTGGTGCATGCACGTATAGTTCCAGTCAGAATTTCAGTACTGTGGTGAGTAGTTAATTTATTACGTATATATATTTCATTGTAATTTATATAAGCCTATATGTGACTTGTTGATAAGTAGCATCCGAATTATAATCTCAAATTTGTATCCAATCCATCAGTACTGTGTCGTCCGTTCGATGTTTCGGTTATCTTTTTTTCCCAAAATTTAATTTAAATTCTGCTTTCGCAGAACTTGTTTATTTAATGTTATTATAAACTCATATAAATTTGGTGTGGGTCCTATATCTAATAATTGAGATATCGGTATACCCAAAATCCACCAGCCGCCACTGATGTGGGGTATTATTTGATTTTAAGATATTTAATGTATAATATGCTCAAAGTTGCAATAAATCTTATATTTTCCAATAAATTATGTATTTAATTAGTACCCTGGTATACCCGTCGCTTCCCTTG